TCCCGCTGCAGGCGAGCGGCCGGAGGGATGCGCGCCTGCCTCGGGGAGTGCTGCAAAATAACGCTATTGAGCGCGGTTTACTGCTCGGTTGTCATGCCCAAGGTGCGGGCATGAAACACGCCGGAGCGCTTCGTGGTTTGGTTCTTTTTTAAGCGCGCAGGGAATAAACGCGTGTACTTGCCGGGTGGCTCTACAGCAATAGTGCATGCATGCAGTATGAGGGCTCTCTTCCAAAGCAGGAGCATGCACAAACCCCGCATTGCTCGAGAGAGTGGCGCTTCCCTCTGCTTGCCGAGACATTTTCTTGCTAATTTTCTTTAACTAATTTTCCTTCTGCTTGTTTACTTACCAAGTTGCTTCTTCACTGTTCCATGCACATGGACGAGTTTTCATTACTGCTGATTTGCATGACTAGAAAAGAAGTATTTACAATGAATTACACATGTGGCTGGCTGGAAAGCTCATTTTCTGTTCGTTTCCCCTCTGTCTCTTCTCCTCTGAGCACTGCATTTACCTGTTGTAGTTTGGTTGTCGTTGTGGCGTTACCACGCTCCAGCTGAGGCAGGGCCCTTAGTGTGCTGTTGCTTGTGCTTCTCCAGCCAGAGAAACTTCTCCAGCCAGGGCCAGGCTGAACGAACATGCAGCTCACTCCCTTTTGCGTTACTCGTGTGAATGACAACTTAGACCACTGACACTGACAGCTTAGAAGATGTAAAGGCTCTTGGGGTAAGAAAGAGAATTAACCAACTATGGCACTTTTCAGGTAAGGTTGAGAGTGCTAGTATGAATTGAGTTTCCTTATGCAGTCATATTTGCAGAGTTTTATTACCTACTGTTTTGAAGTACTCAAGCAATAGCAACTGTCACAAAAACATGAATCCCAAAAGCTGTGCATTTCAGTAGAATTGCCTAGTCGCTGGAAAAAGAGTACCAGAAGTTCACAGCTAGGCATTTACTCTTTGTAACTTGTTTTTCTACTTTCTAAAAAGAAAAAAAAAATATTTCATGGACTCCAATCAGGAGGAAGAAATCATGATTGCATAGCTCTAGGTGATCATTTCTTCACGATAAACAGTTAATGGCTGTAATGAACAGTTTGCAGGCAAATTCTCCCAAGTCGCACGTACCTTGTGATCAGGACTTGTGAATAACAACTGCTCTTTTCAAAACAAGAACTTGCTTGCAGACTATCTGTTGGCAATAAGAAGAAGACATGGTATTTGGAATGAATAATCTGACAGAGGGAAACAAATAATACCCACATGCTCTTATTTGGTGTATAATACGGGCTCGCTGATCATGGTATGCGTATCGCTAGCAGTACCCGAGCTGCCCTGGCGTGGAGCACGGGCCAGCACGGCGCGGGGAGGCATCGGCGCCAGCCGCAGTGCTTAACATTACCTCCTGCTGTTAGTATCCAGTGCCATTACTCACCCCCACTTGTCGTGACATCCAGCAAAGAAAAGCTGCAAACCCGGAGGATGTGATTATCCTCTCTGCTTTAACATGGGATTACTGAGAGCATTGCAAGAGGGCCCATTTGAGGCAGAGCTGCTGAGAGCACTGTGGTGCTGTACTCAAGCGGGCACTGCCTCATCTGTGCTAGCATGAAATTTTCTCCTGACACCTGCAGTGGGAAAGATCAGTTCTTGTTATTTCAGTGCAGATACAGATTTTCTCCGGCTGTTTCAACACCCCATACAGAAATATATCCCATTTACCCATATACCCCTATATCAGCATCTGACCCGGCTCAGTCTTTTGCTTGGCCAAAAGCAGTCTTTCTGTCCAGGCGTCTTCCTGTCCTAGCACTGTGATTCCATTTGTTTTGGACAAGACATATTCCACATCAGAAATGAAATAATCGGAGATGGAAAGTCCTTTGTTGCATTAGATCTACATAAATTTGCCATTATAAAGACCAGCAAACGAGCCAGCTCATCACGTTTCTGTGGGACAAGACGCAAAGCTGATCTCCTACTAGATAGCAATCTCATGCTGGGTGTTTCTTATTCCAAAGAGGTTTGATAAGAAATGTTATTCTTCTGCTGTCTCGAACATACAGAAAACACTACGAGAATCAAAGCCCAAACCAGGCAAGAGCAACTTAAAAATATCCAAGACAGCTTTCATGTTTTTTGTTGCAGTGGGTAGCTATATTTCTACAGACATGGTCACAAATGTTTCCCCTGCTAGGTCTCACCTCAGAAACCACTTATCCATTCCTTGTGTGTACGTCCGCTCACATATATCCTCACACACTGAGAAACCTGATGAACAGCGGGGAGAGGAAAAAGACAGTGTCTAACTTTCCTCCTAGCTCCAGTTTACTTAAGCTACATTTTGATTTATTACTAAAGCTTGGTTTTGAGAAAGATGTGTCATCTAAGAGTTTGTTAAAATGCTTAGAAAGTATTTGATAATGACAAAATTTGAGAATAAATCATCTCTGTTCATTTTTTTTATGTGCTACATGTTCATTTTTTTCTGTGATACAGACACCAGAGATGCTTTGAAAATGCAAGTTAGCGATCCTGTCCCTACAGAAAAAAATATGGTGATTTTCCTGATGGAGGCATATTTATCCACTTCACAGCCAGGTTAGTCCAGACTGGATGAGACTGGTCTATAAAATCTGAGCAGCAAGGTAAATTAAATACAATCTAATTAAATGTAGCACAGGAGCTGTTAGTGTAGGTGAAGAACGTAACACAGTTGGTTTTCCTGTTAAAAATTTTCTAGTCACTTGTACCTGAACAGAGAGAGTTACACAGCTGTACCCACCTCTGTTCAGTTACTTGATACCATCAAGCAGACAACCTGCAGCTTTGCAATATACTTAGCCCAGTTAAACACAATAAATGAGAGAGAAAACGAGTAAGACTCAGCCTTGCTGCTTTTGCTGTCTTTCTGCAAGCAGGAGGTAGACAGAATCCAGGACATGCATATGTTCCCATGCCAGGGAGCCTGCTTCTTATTTTGCAGCCATGATGATGCCAGAGCTAAGGCGGCATCTATTTAGAATCATAGCTAAGATTGAAACCAGATTTCTATAGCACTTTTGAGCATGCTATTCATGCAATGAGAAAACTGTTTTTCATTTCTTTTTTTCTTAAAAACCCACATTATTTTGTAGATTTTTTTATTGGCGAAGATTTATTATTTTTGAATTACATGAATAACTGTGTCTAAGGAGTCAAACTCCTATTCCAGGAGTAAAACAGATGGCTGTTCACATGAGCAAACAGTAATTTAACTGCTTGCAGGCAGGAACTGTGTCTCAGACATTGCTGGTCACAGTTGAGGTGATATTCCACGTAAGTTCCGGTTACAAAATACTTAAAATGCCTTAAATGCCTGTTCTGTATCTGGTAGCTAGAAGAAAGCAGCTTGAATTAAGAACTGTACCCCAAATATCTTGAGCTGGCCATTAACACATGCAAGTGGAGTATAAGAAATCACAGATTTGCAGCAGTCAAACTCAAAACAGTAGCAAAAAAGGAAGGGAATTTTAAATAAGGTCTGATGAAGAGCTCGTGCACAGAGATCTAAGGTAACCAAGCTTCCCATTAGGAGGGGAGCACTCTCACTTTGAAGAGTCAAATCTCTGAGTGCCACGTTTCAGCAGATCTCATGGATGACCAGGCCAAAGGTATTGACACAAGATGCTACTGTTTGCATTTCATGGGTCTGTGTTTGAAGATGTGGATGTGTTTGCAGATAACAATTTTCCACCAGACAGGACTAGCGTCTGGAGTTCTTTCCATATTTTAATGTCTACAGTGTGCCGTATTCTAGCTGACCAATCCACAACTGGATTTCTTTACCAGATACAACATAAACTTGTGATTAGAATTATGCAAGAACAGACTCGTAAAAAATAAGCATTCATCTCCAAAAACTACAAGTCACATTCAGTTTACGAAATATTTTATATAAAGGGCCAAGAAAGGCAGAAGATGTAGAATAAATACAAGTAAAAATTGTGACTCTGCTTTGGAACTGAGGTAATATACAGAACGATAAAAGCTTAAACAGTTAGTAACGATCGTGCACGCTGCAAGGTGGAGTTAAAACCTTCTATTCCAAATGTTCCTGCTTTCAAATTGAGTTTACATATTATTCATTATGCATGGGCTTGAATTGCATCTTCAATCTACTGGTTCCCCCATTCTTCTCATCCCTACTCACATCCTTAAATTACAATGGATCTTATGTCCTAAATCAGATTTTTCCCCAACTTTTGTATATTTAAATGAGTAAGCTGTAGTGTGGAACCAGAATTTGGCACTTCTGTGATTTGCCTCAGCTCTCTGTCATTCTGTACGTCAGATATTATGAGCTACTCATATTATCTGCCAAGACAGAACAGAATCACCGAAAAACAGAAAACAAGCCACTTCACTGTTTTGGAAAAAAAAAAAAGCTGGAAAAGCTTTTCACTTTTATATATCCAAACTGATTGCCTTCTGTGACTTTAAATTTAACATAAACACATTAAAGTACAGTATATATGATGCAGTACATTAATATATTTAGCAGATGGTAAACACTTGCCTGTGATTTAATACTTAGATGTACTCATTTCACATCTACTGCACAAACACTTCATATATTTGGATCTTTAAGTCAGACTTATCTTCAGACTAGAGGCAATTGAGTCACATGAGCATAAGATTTAGTTTATTAGTTCCATAACCTTACTGGTATTTTGGCAAACCTGATTTAAAAACAAAAAAAACTTGCATCTGGATTTTAATACATTTCACAGGATTTCCTTTTTCAACATGATGAAACCAGCTCTCCTAAACCTACAAACTGACTGATTCAAGACAAGATTCAGAATCAGCATATCATTTTTACTCAAATTCATGAGCAGTGTTCATGTGAGTGTATTACAAAACACTCCATAACAGATAAAGTTAGTTACTAACTTAGATTTTTCATAGCCTCAAATATTTGTTCTAAAATGCAGCTGATGCTTGGGAAGTTCTGGCAAGAGATTACTGAGTGGAGAACCGTAATCAGAAATAGAATGAGGAGAGCAGACTTGAGAACCTCTGCCCGAAAAAGACTTCCTTGCACTGACTCCAGGCCAATTAGTATCCCTTGGTTCCCTGGTTTATTTATTTGTATTTAAATAAACACCGCTGGAACTCATGAGTCTTTGCAAAAGACTATGAGGACAAGGTTTCTATAAAGAGCTTCTGATCCTACAAAGTCTTCTATTAACACATAACTTTACTCACATGAGAAGTCTGATCCAAATCAACAGGATTATTCACATAAGTAAACTTTCCCATGTGCTGGAGTATCTGAAGGATATAGAAAGGCTGAGATGAATCAAGATGTAGGCTCTAGCATAAAAAGCAAATGATACAGCAGGGAAATTTGCTACATCTTATTAATTCCAAAAAATTTTATTTTACTTCAAATTTCTGATTGTTTCTTCCTATCTTTTTTGTGTGAGGTCGTTACTAAATAATTTCTGTAGCCGGAAGCAGTTACATTTAAGGAACAATTTTACTTCTTAGATTAATGATTACAAGAAAGAGTAGACTCCTGAGAGATCATAGTGGAAACCACCTCTGAAAAAGGCAACAGTAACTTTGAGGATAATTTTTCATGTCTCACTACAAAAGCAAAAGTTCCTAGAAATGTAACTGTGAAGAGCACAGGACATGAGCAATCATACCTTTATGGCAGTCATTACAATCCAGATAATTAACATTTCCATGAGCACTGTCACTGTTGTTATACATCCTTATAATGGGCTGAACCTTCTGTTACCTGCAGACATTGGAGCAAAGATGAAGAGGATTATTGTGGGACAAACACTCAGGAATGAGAAAAGGCAGGCGACAGAAGGAGTAAGAATTGATGACTTTAACAAATTAAAAAAGAAGGAGCCAGAAAGCAAGCAAAAGAAAAATCACTGTTTGGATTTTATTTGAGTGAGGGAATTAGCAGGAATTCTTCCCTTTGTTACAGTGGATGGTGTCTTCTAAATGTCTTGAAGACAACGGAAGTCTGCTGGATTTTTTTTTTTTTCATTTTGGAAATAAGCATATTCCAAGTAATTTATCTGGAATAAAATATCTGCTACAATCACTCAGATACCAGTGCCTCATTTCAAACTGGCCTCCGTAACTCTGTTCAGGGCTGTGTTCTTCTTTCTGTCAAAGTACTATGATGATAACAAGTGAAAATTCTTATCAGGATGTCCACTACCCTCAGTTACCTTCAGCTTTCCTTCTTGATGCTATCAATAATTCCTCAAAGCTCTTGAGCTTTTTATTTTATTTTGCTAGATCTGAAGCAGGCAGACTCCCATGGACTCTGAAGATTCGTTTTTTTCAATCAGTTCTTGAATGTCACATTATTTCACTGAGGTCTGGGCACAGATATCTATATACTCACTACTACCTCCCCAGTCAATCATATCTGAGGAAAAAGAGGAACATCATTCAACAAACTGTTAAAAAGCCAGTAGTTCAAGCACCAGTATTCTATTATAACTGTCAAAGCTGTTGCATCTTGAAGGGAAAATGTAAGAACTAGTTTCATTTCATCTATTTTCCTATTTTATAGAATTTAACAATATTTTAACATATATTAAATGCCATTATTTTTATAAAGGATGATTGACCTGAAGTATCTTTATCCTATTCTTCTGAAGACAATCAGAATTCAGCCACTGTTGGAGACAGATTCAGGATAAAGTACAAAATTTTGTACACTTGGGTTTCACAAAAATTTCAATTTTATTACTTCTTGGAGATTTTGGCTGCACTAATCCCTGATTTGAGTACCGCTATCAATGTTGTTTCCTTTTCAAGGTACTCAAGAAGGTACAATTTCAAAATGCTATGCCATTAAGAGCCCAAGATTTTACTCCACTTCTGATGATTATGAACAAAGTTTTCTGGAAAACTGTGGCTTGCTCATACAAGTTTTCAAAAAAAAAACAATTTCTTTCCTGATGCTGCTCAGATCAGGTATAGCATAACTGTTCTTTATTGGAAAGATAAAAATTTGTCCAACTAGGTCTTAGCCCAGGTAGGAAAATAACAAACAGTAAACTGTTCTAAAAGGCTCATCTGCACCTGCAGCATAACTGATCCTTACTAATTTATCTGGCTCAGAACAAGAAAAATTGTCAGCTGTTCCACAAGTATATGACAAAAAATATGCAACACAGCTACTGTAAGGCAGTGAAGAAGTGTGTCCTATGGATTTAACTTCCTTCTTACACATTTTGGGAGAAGACACCTTGATCTTCTCAAACCTTTTATCACGACTGAACACCCACTTGTCACATCGCCCACTTACCCTTGAGGTAAGGCCTTGAAACTGCTGCGCGTGCTGCAGACCTGGAAGTCATGAAGACAGCCAGCCGTCTTTCCATAGCTCCTGGCTTTTTGACTCTCCAGACTTCACTTTCTCTCTCTACAGACAGAGATTAGACAAAAAGCTTGACACCTGAAAGTCTGCACAATAGGAATGATTATAAAAGCTTTTGAAAGGGTGGTTTATAAAGCACGGGATGGTCAACTATTGAGGTTGTCTCCAAATATCAGTGTTAGAGTTCTCTTAGACACCTCTTCATCTATAAACAATGGTGTAACCTCTTCTATGGGAAGTTCTTAGAGAAGGAGAAGGGAGTAAGTTACATCCGATATCTGGACAAAAATTAATTAATGAGAATTTGTGCATCACTGAGCATGGCCTCCAAAGTGTCATAGAGCTAAAGGGATCTGGAGGTCCATAAAGTATCTGAAACCTGGCTCACAACAGTTTAGGACATTTTTCCTTTCCACAAGCACAGAGATAAAGGAGGCCAGTCAGGAGATATTATCAGCTAAAGAATCCATAGATCTCCTGCAGATTTCACAAGTGTTCCTGTGATGAAGCATAATAAAATGGCACAGCTGCTTGGGATTACAGGTCTCAGCATTAAGTCTGCATCATCTTGACTCTGTCAGGCCTCCAGCTGCCAGAACCTTTACTGCCTCTTTCAGAGGCACAGACTCTTCAAATTAGTGTCATAGACTTCTTGTAGCTGTCATATTCTTTAGACTAGGTTTATTATCTTTTATGTCACAGGTAAAGTCAAGCCCTTGTGCCTTCCCTATTTGCCATGCCTGTAAAAGAATTTAAGTCTTTGATAGTAACGCTGGCTATGGAGCCCTAGCTCAGTGAGTACGGACATAAAGGGGAAATGGATCACAAGGTAGCCTGTTAACTTGGTATCCGTCATGCTCCTGAGGCCAGGATCTTTTCCGAAAGGCTTCCATCTTATTAAAACTCACTTATTCCTAGCTACAAACACATCCTAACACTACTATGCTTCCTTCTAACCCACAACTCAGACTTGTACACTTCCCAGAAAATTGCATTGTTGCACTGTAGGTATCTACTTAAAAGTCAGCACAGACTTCTTTTCCCTTATCTTTCCAAGTGTACACTGTATAAAAGACAGCTGAAAGTTACACATAAGCTAAACTCTCTCTCTCTCTCTCTCTCTTTCTCTCTTTCTCTTTCTCTCTCTTTCTCAGGGATTTGAAAAACACTTCCTTTCTATAGGTGAGCAGCAAGATACTGCATAGGTAATCTACAGCAAATGTCAACAACGATGGGAGCTGGTCAAGGAGGAACCTGGGACAGGAGGGTAAGTGAGTGCTGACATTGCAGAAAGCAGTAATGTCTGGAGGGATATATGAGGAAGGGGAATGTATTATGACTTTTGTAGTTGAGGGCAATGCTCTTAAAGGTTCTTTACTCATGGAGCAGAAGATGGAGTTGAAAGCAGAGGTGGGACAAGACCTTATGGTGGGGGGTAATAGAGCAGAAAAGGTATATCTTGGTGATGCACAACACTTAATATTTATATAGACCGGGACTGAGAGGATACAGGAATTTTCAAGTATGCGCTTTGCTAGCTAATTGTGAGATGGGATGAAGCCATCTTATTTGGGCTCAACAGGTGTCAAGATTTAGAAGGCTGCCTTTTCAATACAAGGAGTCTATCCTGTGCACGGTGCTGGGAATGTCTTTTAGCAAGCAAATGCAGAATATGCTCAAGGAAAAATGTTTTCTAGCTGGAAGTTTGGTTCTGGATTGGTTAAAAACTCAAAAGATTTATCTTTCTGACTGTTTCTGGTTAAGGATGACTAGGGTCTAAAATTAAAACAGTCCCTGGGTTACAGGGAAGAAACAGATCCCAGTGGGCTTTGGGAGCAGCATTCCCCTGGTGGGGTAGGAAAGGGAATGTTTTTCATCGTTGCAGCTGAAGTATTTTGTGTTTGATATGGAAGGCCAGGTGGGTGAGCAGAGATGCGGAGTGCAAAAAAGCTCTCTGGAGAGTGGTCTATTATGCTTGGCTTCACTCTCCTGGAGAGGAAAAACAGTTTTGGGAGCAAGTCCTCTCTCAGAGTACTTTCTAGTGTGGCTGCTTTCTGACACACACCTACCCAAAATCAGGTTTCTAGTGGTTTCTGCCTGACATCAAGTTTAGATGAACTATCCCCCTGAAACAGCAGCATAATTTGTGCATAATTCTTCGTTATTATTGAATATGGACTTCTACACATTTAAGAACCTTTTGCTCTTAATTTTCTGTTTCTTCTTGCTCTGGAGGATGGTTTGGTTCTGCTGTATGTTTCTGTCCTCTGTGATTGTAACTGTTTGAGACTTATTAAATATAAAAGCTCTTTGATATCAGCTGGAGCACAGCTGAGGATTAAGTCTGCCCCTCAGTGCTCTGTCTACTGCTGTCATGTGTAAATCCTATGTAGGAACTGCTCTCTTCCACAGAATTCAGCCATAGCCTATATGAAACATAGCAGATGCTTAGCAAAACAGATTTGAAAGGAAGTGAAGATACCTTTTCCAATGAAGTTCGTGATGATTATAAAATCCGGCATCAGAACAGCTCTCCTCAGGAAGCCAGCACATAGGCATCTGTAACTCACAAAATATGTCCTGGAATTTTAATGGATGTAAGCAAGTGCCTGTCAGCTTTCTGCCACATGGGAGAAGAGGGTACCTTCAGCATGCTCAAAAACTAGGCTGCCAGACTGGCGTACTGATTGAGGGGGGACTCATCAGAACTACAGATGGGTTGCTGGGAAATGCCCCTCCAGGAATAAAGCTAGACTGACCTCAGGTTAACTTAAGAAATCTTACAGCATCACAATCCTAGGTGTTATGACTGCAGGCAATAATACATTAGTCTCTAGAATGTAAAAATACTTTAAAAAGTTACCAAGACCAAAGGAAACTGGTAGTATTGGTCATCAGAAGGATAATAAAATTTGGCTGTTAAGATGGGAATCTACTTTCTTCTGGCAATGCTCAAATATTTCTCTGCCAAGGTTTCATCAGCTGTACTATATGTTTTAGTTATTTGAGTCTCCATTAACGTGTATGTTCTGGAACTAATTTTTAGGTGGTTTACCCACAGGAATATCAGCCCATATGCTTAAAATAAAACAGGGGGGATATATATATATATATATATAGAGAGAGAGAGAGAGAGGGGGAATATCATTTTTTTTGGAAGTGATAGCATGCCTGTATATGATTACAATGTGTAAAAAATACTCCAAAGCCTTCTCCTCAATCCGTGTTTATAGCACAAGTCCCATATACTTATGAAAGAGTGAGGTATTCTGAAACCAATACCATAAATCAACTGTAAAACTTCATGAACTACAACCATGATATAAAGTTTCCTGGACTGATGCGAGAGTCTGAGGGTCTTTGTAATCTTTTGTTTAGGTAGCTGTGCTGCAGACTAATCATTACTCATGATAACAGTACTCAGTACTCATGATAACCAAACTCCTGCTCTGTTTCTCAGGGGAGCTGCATGTTGCTTTAGTGATTTCATCTAAAGGCTGGTTTGTTTTGTTTTTCTTTAGATTCTGATGTGAAAAGATATACTGACAGAGAAATGTAGATAAGCCATGAGCAGGTTTAATACTGTAACCCTCTTTTTACTGCCATTCATACCCTTGCGAATCAGGGAACATTCAAAGAATTAGCTTTACAAAGAAATCTGTCAGAATGTCACTTACTCCCGATTTGAAGCTAACATGTATTAATTTCTTTCAGTCAGGAGATGAGACCCATCAAAATTAATCACCTACTATGTTTATTTTCCACTTTTGGCTGTTTCTTCCTATGGCTCCTGTGATCCCCCCTACCTAGTTAAAAGTGTGTCTCATCTTCCCTTTAGTCCAAGGACAGTATCCTTCTCTCCAGCAGATTTTATCTTCTTTTTGAATGCAGCTAAACTGCCACACCATCCTAGCTCTGTAGGTTTCTGTACAGCTCTACTGCTTAACACCTACTGAAGACTGACATATTATATCTTCCTAAACAGTTCCAGAAAAATTATAGCTTAGTACAAACGTTTGTGAGGCTCTCTCCTGAGTTATTTTGTTTCTAGCTATATGAAAAATCATACAAGCATGTGTCCCTTCTGTACAGAATTTATCACATGGTACAGTGAAGAAAGGGAAGAGACAGTCTTAATACAATGATGTGCTGTCAAAAGCATATATATCTTTGCGGCTACCTGCTGGCAGGGGTGAATAGTAGCTCTTTATCATGGGCTACATATACATACTGATGCTCTTCAGTACAAGTTGATGAGAACAACTGGAGGCAATGAAGCTACATGGGTTTAGGGTATGGCTCTTACTGATTTTAATACACTGATTTAGATCAATTATCTATTTATTTCCTCTGTTTTATTGACCTTATTTCATTTTCACATTGGCTAACTCTATGTAGCTGCACTATGCATTTTTTCAGAACTTCAGCAACCTTTTTCAGCTACCTCTCGCGCTGCTCTGAGTTTTGTAGGATCCCATTTAAATACATAAGGGTCACTGTTCTTTCCACATGAGCTGTGTATTTAAGTCCCATTAATATGAAACAGGATTTGAGGGAATACATTGAAGGAGAATAAGCCTCTTAAACACCTTTTTTACCGTACCCATTTTATTTCTTTGGCATTTCTCACCTCTTGAAGCTATTTTCTTATTTCCCTGTCTGAACAAGCATAGACCATATCTCACTTTTCTAACAAGACTCCCTCCTATCCCTCCACTGAGGAGTCTCAAGGAAGCCAGACACATGGTTCCTTACATGGTTTTCTTTCTCACTATAAATTTAAGAGAAACCGTTTGTCTCCCCTCTAAACCAATTTCCATTCAGAGACCTAAACTACTTCTCTGAATTGACCTGAGAAGGAACATACACTCGCCTGAAGTCATACGATGTTCTAAAACTAATGTAAAGACAAAAATGTAATTTTTTTTGTTTGCATTTTTGAGCTCTTAAAAAATACAAACTTTTTTTACAGTATCTTTCAACTTGAAGTGCTTCATAAATTACGGTTCTAGAACTAATAGGTGTTTGCTGTGGGTTGTAGGGTTGAGCAGTCCTGTTGGAACAGACAGTTTAATGTAGATTCATTTTGAAAAGGAAGTGTTTTGAAATCAAGTTCAGTCTCTGTACATATGCAATGCCACTGACTTGTGGCCACCTGTATAGTGGACAGAAGTTATAGTTAACATAGAGCTTCAAGTGCTGCAATGAATGGAAAGGAAGTCCTTCTTAAAATAACAGCTGAAGATACAAATTGCTATTTCTACATATCTCAGAAATAAGAAACAGCATTGCTATCCTCAGATGAACAGTTTAGCTTCATTCCCTGATTGAATCGTATTGCCATTATCCAACAATGAGCTCTTACATTAGTTGAAAAACTGTTCCAAGCTAAAGATGTCTTTTTTGTAGTACTAACCGCTAACAAAATGAGAAAGAATATCAGATAGAGGGGGACAGAAGGTCACTTGCAATGCAATTTAATTTTTAAAAAACTGATCTGGGGATATGTTAGCTCATAGGTTAGAAATCTTAGAATGAAGGCACTTAGCACTTGAGAGTTTGAGGATGTTGCAGTTTATCAAATATGAATTCTGCTTTAATTGCCCATAAATAGCTTCCTAAGATGTCTGCATAACTTCACAGTTTACAGTTATCTGGGTAGTATGCTAGTCATAACTTTTAGCTTTGGGTGACTATTTCAAGGTGTGTCTAATTTATTCATTACCATTCCACCTTGTTTGCAGTGATGTGTTAGTTAATCTTGACTATCTCGAGTGCCTGTGATATGAATCTCTAACTGTACAGGGTCAATTACCCTTTATTTCCCCAGTGAGGGAAAGTATGGTTAGCTGATTGTGCAATGAAGCAATAGTTAAAGGAAGTATCATTCCATCTGGAAAAGTTACAGCAGGAGAGAGTGAGAGAGAACAAGGTAGCTCTTAAAAGACGTGGATAATAAAGGGGCTATGTGAGCAGTACACAGTGACTCCAATAATAGCTCCTGTGTTAAGGGGAAAGTTAGCACATTACTGTTCACTTTCTACTTTTTTTTTTCCGTTAACAGTGGTCTTCTGAACACCACAAAGAGCGAGCTTTGGCTTGCATTCATTTTTAAATCACCACAGCTGTCTCCTGTAGGGCTGCCTCTGGCTGGTTGGACTGCCAAAGGGTACTGCCTCTGCAGTGGACACTGCGTAAGAAGAGCATGCATGCCTCAGCTGTTTGCACACACAGCGCAACAGCCCAGAGTAAACTGATGACAGAAGCAACTTGGGGTTGACCTGGGAGTTCTGGTGAACAAGTTAACCATGAGGCAGCAATGTGCCCTTGTGGCCAAGACAGCCAACAGGATCCTGGGCTGCATTAGGCAGAGTGTTGCCAGCAGGACGAGGGAGGTGATCCTGCCCCTCTACTCAGCCCTGGGGAGGCCTCACCTGCAGCGCTGTGTCCAATTCTGGGCTCTCCAGGACAAGAGAGACATGGCGCTACTGGAGAGAGTGCAGCGGAGGGCTACCAAGATGATGAGGGGACTGGAGCATCTCTCCTACGAAGAAAGACTGCAAGAGCTGGGCCTGTTCAGCCTGGAGAAGAGAAAATTGAGGGGGGGATCTCCTCAATGTGTACAAGTATCTGAGCGGGGTTGTCAAGAGGATAGGGCCAGACTCTTCTCTGTGGTGCCCAGCGACAGGACAAGAGGCAACGGGCACAAACTTAAACACAGGCAGTTCCATCTGAACCTGAGGAAAAACTTCTTTCCTGTGAGGGTGACAGAGCCCTGGAACAGGTTGTGGAGTCTCCTTCACCAGAGATATTCAAACCCGCCTGGACACAATCCTGGGAAATATGCTCTAGAGGACCCTGCTTGAGCAGAGGTGTTGGACTAGATGATCTCCAGAGGTCCCTTCCAACCTTGGCCATTTTGTGATTCTGTGATTCCTGGTCCATCATCCGTGTGCCAACACACTGCTTTGTACTTGGCCTCGGCTGTTCCTCCTGAAGTCAAAGATATCCATGATCAACAGTGCAGTCTTCCTCTTCAGACTTCTTTTGTGTCATTATTTTCTTTTTAGATTGTTAGTGTTGAGCAGGGCTGTGCAGCCAGCAATATGTAGTCATCTCAGAATCAAGTATGTTCCCCTGATTCTTCTCTGCAAGAAATATGTCAAGGTTGACAGCTACTGCATACTAGAAGTTTCATGAATTGGGGATGGCAGGCTGGGAAGGTTCTTTTGAAGCCTCGTGCCAAGAGTCAGGGTTAAATGAGAACCTGCTTACTTTAAAAAGAGAAAAAAGAGAGAGAATTTTTTGCCATCTAGATTTGCAAAGAGTTTGAAAATACAAACACTAAACGCTCAAATCATAAGTGAACTTGAAAAAAGTTGTTTTGTGTACGTTTAAGATTCATTACCAATCATCTCATGACTTTTTTATGAAGACTTGCTGGATTCATGCTTTTTGAATCCTTTGTGTTGATGGAACAGGTGATTCCCTTTTGATTCATTCTTACAGCTGCTAATACCACAGACATATTTAATAATGCAGGCAGGCTTCACCTGCATGTCGTAAGATGTAGGGTTTGGGTTCGTCAGTAAGCTATGTGGAGCCATGTCACAGCTGACCTGCATGCAGGTGCACGGAGCTCAGTGAGGAGCTGAGATTCCCCCTCATGCACCACAAGCGCAGGGCCCCTCGCAATAGCATTCCTTACGCGTGAGGGGAGAGCACGTGGATCATTTCTTCTGTGCATCTGCACAGGCAGCCACATTCCCAAGGGAGCAGCGCAGGGAGGAAACAAGATGACTCCTCCTCACTTAACAGGCTACAATATGGAATGATTATCTACAGTATACAATATACATGCCTTTAGTCAATGTACTATTAAATAAAATGGCATAATTGTCAAAAATAGCATGGAGCATTTCTGTGTTGCCCACCGTGCTTCATAAGTAAAGCTTCAAAGCTTGCAAAGCTTCACTAACACGCAGTCAGTATGTAAGCTGACACAGGGAACATGGCGTAAAGAGAGAATATGGGAATCTAGAAAGGTTTCTCTGTGTTATCAGATCCCTAGTAGAGAGACAGGAGGGAGGGGGGTACCTTGAGGCAATGTTGCTGCATGCAACAATAATCAGAGGTGTTTAGCAGCTGCTGCTGCCTCAGACTGAGCCTACGTTAATGTTTCAGTTCAGCGCAGGGGTGCACTTTTGAAGTAAATTGTGAAAAATCTCCAATTACCATGCTTTGGTTCACATGGCGGCACAGTCTCTGAGCATGCACATGAGAAGAAAAGCAGAAGGTGCAGTTAGGAGAAAGCCCCCACAGCATGTGTAGTGCGCCCGTTGGGGCGTGAGCACTGGCTGTTTAGTTCTGTAGATTGGCTCCCGCTGTCTGCATTTGCTGCTAAGAGGACCCTGCCTCTGTTCACCCCTTGGTAAGCATAAAATGGGGGGTACAAACACAGGGGGAAAATGACAGTGCAGGTGTCATGAAAGACAGCAGGTATTAAATGGGTTGACTGACTAAAGCAGTTCATGGTGGCTCTGTATGCTGCAGCACATTTCATGTAGTTTAACTATTATGTTATTTTTAGCCCCAGTTTTCACACATAGGGTGAGAACACAGACTCAGTTTGTTTTTAAAGGTGTGACTCTTCCACAAGCTGTTTTAAATATATGCCTTAATGTTTAATATGCCAAAACAAATGTTATGTTCTGATTCCATTTTGGATTTTGCTTCTGTGTTGTAAGCCAATAACATGCATAATGATGAACTTGGTATCAGTGTTCAACACCGTCATACACATAATATTTCATGGTAATGTTATGTTCATGGTAATCTTTTTTTTTCCCCTTCATTAAATTATTGGCTCACTCACTGCTAAGAAAAATATGGAAAAAGGGAAGTCTTAGAAAGAAAGAGGCATTTAAATCCTTGATATGAACCCAAATCCACGGCCAAAAGCCATTCTAAGAAGAAGCCTATTTTTCAGTTAGGTTTCAGAAAAAAAGTCTGATCTTTTTTTAATAAGACTTCTGACCATGCTAGTAGAAGTCCAGTTAGCATGACTGACCTCATTTAAAAGTTCAGCCACTCAGGTAGCCACCTCTTATAGCTGAGCTCTTATGAGAACAGTTTGCAAGATTCTAGCGTTGTTTAATTTGAATACAAACCCTAGTCTAGAGTTTCAGACCACAAATGGACTTCATGTAAGTAAGATTCTGATCTGGAGCCAAGCTCCAAATATGTCAGAATCCCAAAATATATTTTAAGTATACCATAAGACAGACTCCCAGAACATCATGAAAAGTTATATGATAAATATATCCAAATAGGAATGCTGTCATAAATAAATGAGTTCTTGAGTCATTGAGTTCTTCTGTGTCATAGTATTGAGGATGCAGGGTCAGTTCCTTGATCATTTGCACATAATAGTATAGACTACATTGTGCTCATGTACTTCAAGTACTTCAAAACCATGTGTGAAGAGCAGCATATTAATTGCAAAGATCAGAAAAAGAGCCAAACTTTTCAAATGCTATGACCAGATGGCCCAGTGTGTGAGACCATGGCTGCTGTGTAGCGGAGGGGTCCACGTTCAACCCTGCTGATCCTCAGGCCAACTGCAAGGCACCCATTTGTCTAGGAGATGGGACGCCCTGTGGCTCCCGGGTGCTCGGCGCATTGCACTCCTGTGCTCTCCAGCAGGTGGTTACCAAGCAACAATGCCGTTTCAGAGGCTTATTGTCCGCTCAGCCACTGGATGAATGCATCAGGCACAGCTGCTGCTATCAGGAGGGAGCGAATGTGACTGGGGGGGGGAATGAAGGTAGCTCTAAATGAATGAGTTTTAATAGAATCGTTCTTCCTCCACCCCCGAGATTCCTGTATATTGGCTGGCTGGTACTTAAGATACATTCTTTGTGGAAAATTCAGGGATCTGAATTCATTCATTCCCCAGCAAATGAGATTACCGTGAAAGAAGAAAGATCCCAGATGCTTGCTATCCTTGCAAAATCGCAAATACTCCTACAGTATTTTTTAGACTAGGTAATTGTAGCACCTGCCTTTGCTGAGTTGTGTAATGATGTACCTCACCCTTACAGTGACCTTCAAAGAAAAAAAAGAGGAAATAGCTTGTATGGAGAAATACCTATAACACATCTTACAAGGAAAGACTCTAAAAGCGAATGCCTGCTAGCTATACTGCCTATGAGGGGGTGGGGGCTTGGGATTTCATCCTGAATTCTCACACCATTCCTCTTTTACAACCAAAGAAAATGACTGTTTTCTGTTTTTTCTTAGCTTTTTTTTTTCCCTGTGGCTGGATTCATAGCCTGAATAGTTAGGGTAGGAATATAATGCAGCATTTCACTCTGCTCACTGCTATAGTATCATGAATATACACAGGAGAAGGAAAAAGGACTGTCCAAGTGAAACAGCGCACAGGCGGAAGGGCAGGGAAGGGAGCCCTGGCTACACCCGCTCAGTAGGTGTAGCCAATATACCTCCCAGCCTGCTAAGCCCAGCTTCACACTTCTCCAGGAATGTCTAGTTCTGGCCAGCAGTGCCAACTCCCTCATAGCCCTTGAGCTATGAAGAAACATGTCTGCAGTCCAGGAGGGATGCAACACTTGGGAAAGAGAGGGAATGGGAACTCTCCTCCATACCACACCCCTGTAGGGCTAAGCATAATTTAGTCCTCTACTTCATATCTAGTCTCCCTTAGCCTTAAGGCAGCAAAAAGGCACCTAGTCTATTTGCTTTTTCTCAGTTATGTTATATTACTTATTCCTCAAAAGAGCTTCCTAAAATACACACACAAAGGCTGTCTGCGTCTAGGAGCACTCACTTATGAATTACCTTGGTTGCAGGCTCATGTTTTACAATGCGTTTCAGAAGGATCCTTTTAAAAGTGTGTCCTGCATAACCTGCTACAGTTTATTCCTGTTAAAATTTATGTTTAAGCAAGCCAGGGAGCATGATGAGCTATTCTGAGTTTGCCATCCAGTTTCAAAACTGGAAAATTCTTATGTTCACCAAAAAAAAAAAAAAAAGACTTGAATTTAGCAAGCCTTGCTCTTTGCATAGTACTATGAGAGCACGGCAGGAGCGGTAACAAGACTTGTTCACACGCCGAAAGCACTTGGCATCTCTCAGGATAAGGACCTTGAGCATGAAGCAAACAGTGGTGGCCGAATCTGTACCCAAGAGAGGCCTCACCTGCTGGGCGGGAGCGGC